TACGCGAACCCACGCCGGAACGATGCTCGACCAGATGAAACTAGAGCCACTCTATATGGCAGCGAAGCTGCCAGAGTAGCGACACGACGCGAAATTATCTAGATGCACGACGTCACAAGCGCCAATAGTGATCTCCATTTTGGGCCTGGGAGGTTGCCATGGTAACCGTGCTGCTATAGCGACGCCGAGCAGCAATTTTTTGCTAGTTGATATCTCCATTCGTCCATTGAAAGGTGGTAAAAGACGCTCGGCATGGCGGTACGGCACGGGCCTCAGCGGGAACGGTGTCTGCTTCTGTGAAGTGAGGCGGATTTGCAGCCCGGGGACTGTCGGGCGACGAGAGCTGCTAAGTATCGTAGGTGATCGTATGTGCACGGACAAGGCGAGTGGTTTTCCGCGCCGCCGAGATGGCGGCCGCTTGGTGGATCGTACGTACCGTCCTTGTACTTTCGGACTTCGCTCCTACGAAACAAAATCCGAAAACGCCGGCCACGACAGGACGATTGCCTCCGGACATGACTGTTTTGCTCGACTGCCCCATAGTAAGCGAACGTACGCTTAGCATCATACTTCTTCACGACCCAATCATTCATTTCAGGATGAGATTATCTCACCGACTGGCGAGGAGCGACGTCGACGACGGTTTCACTCTCGTTTGGGCGATGAACAGTAGACAAGGTTAAACCTGGTTAGACCAAGAAGGACAGCATGGTGGTTTCCAGAGGATTGTTAACGCCATCAAAAGGGACGGACGCTGGATATGAAGTGTTCTTGCCGACAGGCCAAGTGGTCGTCCGGAAGTTTATCTTCATGCAAAATGTCAATATTTTTATCTAGTGTGACACACATATCCGTGTTAAAGGGACCATGAAATGATTTTTTAACTTCTTCTTTCTTAGCTGTAATCCTCAACTTAAAAGCGAACTGCGAAATCACGCGGTCGTGACATGCTACCCTACCGAAAAATCCGGTATAACTTTTCGCTATCCGGATTATGGAACCGGAAATCTATCTGGATTCTATCTGGAGTCTATCTGCAATTTAGGTTTTCAGAAATTATTCCTTTGTCTGCAATCTGGATTTAGTTAAAGTTAAAGGTCGCAGGCGCTTCCTCGCTAAGCGTTTCTGTGATTATGCGGTTACCAAGGGTTGAAACAACTTCCCCAAGGCCCTACTTGCAACTCATGCGTTTTGCATCGGTTCTCAGACACTCCAACGTTGAAACAAAGCCAAGAGTATGCGAAAATTGCATGCTAAAAGCCTTATTGATTCTCGAACATATCCAGGAATCCGAGCGCCCCTACGGCGATATGACTTAATTTGTCTCACAGGTGCTAATATCCAGAGCGATCTTGCACAGAAAAGGTATAAAGTCTCCATTCTTTCATACTTCACGTTATACCGGCATCAAAGAGCACGAAGTCAGAAATCGCCAGCAAGCAGCTGCACATCACGACTCCGCACATCGAACAAACTCGCATCTACCAGCTCTAGCCGCTGCCATCTTACCAGTGACATCACGGCTCTTGCGAGGTCACGTGACGAGTAGTCACTCGGTTGCTATGGGCACGGTGCCAGCTAGGCTCGTTGCTATGGTACCGCGTGTGACCAATCGCGGTGAGAGGCGGCACAGGGAAAAGCGTGGCGCTACTCTGGCAGCTACGCTGCCACATAGAGGCTCTAGATGAAACCGGGCCGGGTTGAGGTATGAAAAAGGATTTCTGGGTTCTGCAGCGCGAGCTTTCGCCTCACGAGCTGAATCTTGGGGCACGAGGCGAGGCAATGTGGCGCCGAGAAAGTATTCAAAAGAAGACGAAGAAGACAGTCACGAGCGCGGAATCTGCTTTTGTTTTTGTTCGGAGTTCTTAAAATATCGTGAAGCGATTCTCGTGTTTCTGTCTATGCGTTAACGGTAGGACCAGGTGTCCCTGTTTAGCGACTACAAATAATACGAAGAGCGAGCATTTGTGCGACCATCCTGCCGGTGGCCACGCTTTTCTTCCGGCCTCTAGCTTCGAGAGGATCATGGCAGATCGGTGAGTTTGGGCTCGTAGTGTTTCGAACGCGTACTTTGTGTTCCATGTGTCGTGTAACGTAAAACCGGAGCGCGATATCGCGTGCCCAGTGTCATCGAGTGACTTTCTTTCTGTAGTGAAGCATATGGAGCACTTCTCAAAGTGGGCTTCTACCTTGCACGCACAACTAAAGCACGACCGAAGGCAACTAGCGTGTGTTGGAGGCACCTGAGAGATATAACTCAGCGCTTTATCTTCTGTCAGTGATTCACTTTAAGAAATTTGGAGCTTCTCTAAAACTGAATTTCCTGCAATGTAGCGGAACAGCCGATACCACGAAATAACTTCATATAGATAAAGGAGAAATACGTAGTGTTTATGGAAGATGTTTAGGCCGATGTTGGTTTAGGCGTTATAGATTTGTTCATGAAAAGCCGCAAAGGTTAGATTGAGTTGGTTTGTGCAGGTGAGTTAGACGGCCAAGGGGACACCATATAGGGAACTAACGATAGGTCGGTTAGTGAACTAAAATCTGTTCATTAACTTATTTATTCGTGCTGCCCGATTGACTCCATCGGATTGAACAGCTATCTGAAAAAAAATGCAGACCGCCCGACGTTTTCAGAAAGAATGCAACTTCGCAGCTTCTTTGTCTTTTACATGGAAAGGCTAGCAACCTGTTTCGAAAATTACCACTTGCGTTAATACCCCAACTGAGCTGAACTGCCACTATACATGGCTCGCACGTACGTCACACGATGCCGTCGTTATAGTCAAACCTGTGTTTAAACAATAGACCGATCTCACTGAGCGTTCGGCGCACGCGTTACGCCGCCATAACCTTAGTTCACGCGAGGCAGACAGCCGTGAATGCGAGGGCTCGTGCCGTCTCGTGCTCCACAAGTGCAGAGCCCCAGCAAGGTTGTCGCACGTGCAGAAAGACTAAAGTTCCCTTGATGCACTGCGGTTGCGATGGCGTAGTCAAACTGGCTGGTGAGATCGGTCTATTAGTGCCGATCACGAGATGACGCAGTTATCGGGACTGAAACACGTTCGGAGGCGAGCACGATCGTACGGCATCTCCGACCCAGGGGTCACTCCCGGGTTCTGTCTGTTCTTTTCATAATCCATCTTCAGCGACAGGGCAACCATGGCCCGCGCGAGCTTGTTTTCGCGTACACAACGTGTATTATCTAGCTTTTTCGAACAAGCGAAGACTCGTCTACCGTCCCTTTTGCCCGAGTCCCACTAAAATGACAAAAAAAAAAAAAAAAAATTGACAGCGACAAGTCTGAAACCAGGGTCTTTCGCAATTTGACAGGCTTGGTAGAATAAGGGAGGCTATGCTCAAATACGAGCATCATGCACGCTAGAGTATCTTTGACAGGTTTGTAATCACTCGAGCTTACTTCACAAGCACAAAGCGACTAAACGCTTGCCAAAGGTACCATCGCGGGCATGCTGCATGTGTTTGAGGCTTGTTGTTGTCCTTTGTTTCTGTTTGTCGCTCTAGTGGAACTCGAGTTACTGGGTGCTTGGCGAACTTTGGCGATCCATTCGTCTCTCAACTGCCGGGCCTTCGAAAAGCTATGAAACCCGACATTGTTGTGTCTAGTGTTGCTGTTGCTGCAGACAGGAACGAAACACGTGAAAACTGCCATAACGGCGGAGCGAAATAATTTTTTTTTTTTTTTTTATGGAACAACAGTGCCAACGCTTTACGCGCAAGGCTGTTTGTCAGCCAGTTCTTCACTGCATCTCCGCCCGGGACCGCACCAGCCCAATGCACAGAGACTAAGGTGTCACAATGCATCGTGGCAGCGGTGGCGTAGATAAACTGCTGGTGAGATCGGTCTATTGCTACGTATCCCAACGATCGTTTCGTCGGCATGCCCCATTAGGGAAGTTTCGAGTCACAGAAAAGGGATGTACGGCCGGGTTCTACGCAATTTGCGAGACGTATTTTATAGCGGCGAGCGACGGTACTTTTTTTTTACCGTTGTTTATGTTCGTGCACATATTTGCATCGGCTTTGTCCGTTCGTGATGTAAATGCCCCATTGCCTTTCGTTTCATCAAGCTATTTCCACGCTTCGAGCGCACCTTCGCGTGAACACCCCAAAAATAGAATTCTGGGAGTCTCTGCAGCCTCCAGGGGATCTCTTGTACGAGGAACAACTTACAAGCAAGGAGCACCACATGTAGTTCTGCTGCATGCACAAAAAGGACAGACGCGATGCATCGCGTATTTGCAGGTGTCCATCTCCTCAATTTTCAAGGTTACATGTGTGTTGCCTTGTTTTCATCAGTATTTGACGTATAGCATAATAACTCTGAGTTAAAGGGATGACTCTCCCAAGTAAAAAAGCATTGGTACTTGCAATCAGTGTTCGACATGACCTCTGTTAAGGCTGTATGAAGCAGGTGTCAGTGCGACGAACAGTCTTCAAAAAGGGTGCCTGCCATACTTTCGTAGCCTCGTTCTCCTACATTCTTTTTCCACCCTTGAAAAGTGTGGGGTGTACCATGCAGCAGCACCCCATTTTACCATTAATAAGGGTGTACTACTCAAAATTTAGGGTGCTGAAAGTGTGCAGCCATGGGTGTAAGCGTCAGAAAACACGCATTTTGCGCCCTAATGCCGGAGTTCCACTGGAGCGAGAAACAAAAAGAGCCGACACTGACAGATCTCAGACACGTGCATCATGCAGGCAATGTCATCCTTGGCCACTTTGGCAGGCTTGCAATCACTTGCACAGTACGAGTGATTGCAAGCCTGCCGGAGATGCCATCGTGCGCACCCTGCACATGTTTGGGGTGTGTTGGTGTTGGTTGTGTCTGTTTGTTGCTCTAATGGATGTAGAGCATAGGGGGTGTTAATGTTCTTGGTGTGTTTGTGTTAATAAGTAGTAATTCTCTGGTACAGTGAGGAGAGCATGATTAGGATCACTCTCCCCGAGTCGACGAAAGTCCGTTTCAACGATGCATGCCTGATTCATTTTTTAGGCCCGAAAGCAGTGGACCTCTACCGCTGCTGTTTTACTGTAAACGTCATTCGACTATGCTGGCTATCTTGGGCTTGCTGACGCTCCCTTCGCTGGTACCAAGATCCGTACACTACGCCGTCGAGCTGATCGACTACGAGTGGTTCGCACCACAGCGGACGTTCCCCGCTCCACCCTGGAGCGGCCCTCAGGGAGCGTACAACCTGTCTGCGCTCGACCAACGCCGGGACCGGAGGACACTGATAGACCAGAATGACTTCCACTATATAGTCAACAGCGACCGCTGCAAGGCACCTCTGGATGATCTCTTCATCGTCGTGTTCGTGCACTCGGCGCCGGCGCACTGGGACAGGCGGCGAACTATCCGCGAGACCTGGGGCAACGCGAGTGTCCTGCGGGCCGTCACCGCAGAGAAGATGGCGCTAGTGTTCATGGTTGGCCGTCCGGACGACGCGCGCGAGCTCAAGACGCTTGCGCTCGAGGGTAGCATTCACGGCGATCTGGTCATGGGGGACTTCGCTGACAGTTACCGCAACCTGACATATAAGCACGTGATGGGGCTTAAGTGGGTGACATACTTCTGCCGGAACGCGCGGTACGTGCTCAAGACGGACGACGACGTGTTTATGGACTTGTTTCAGCTGACGTCGTACCTGCGGTCCGTGTTTGGCGCGCTGGCGCCCCCCAAGCTGATGGCGTGCCTTTTGATTCGGCGGGCCGTCGTCAAGCGTAGCTATCGCAGCAAGTGGAGGGTGGGCTTCGGCGAGTACCGCGGCCGTCGCTACCCGCCGTACTGCTTGGGGTTCGGGGTTGTGATGTCGCCCGACGTGGTCTTCGACCTTTATCGCGCGTCGGTCGGGACGCCATACTTCTGGATTGACGACGTTTTTGTCACGGGGATCCTCGCACGGCGGATCGGGCTCACGCACGTAGACATCGCGCACCACCTTGGGGGAAGCGGCAACGAAGCACTCGCCTGGCTGGGACAGGCGCCGCAAGAACCGCCTCCCTTCATGGGACTCCGAGATTTGGACACAGAGTTTATATACCGTTTGTGGAACAAGACCCGCTGCTACGCACTGCATTTGTAGTAGAGATCTGCCGGGGAAGGGCGCAGTGGTTCCCGGGACTCGGGCCGTGGTCGAGTTGTGGGATCTGGCAGTTTCAAGGTGTGCGGGAAGTCTATTTCTAAATCTATTTTTTATTGTTTTATGTATTATCATTTACATTTTGGAACCAATAAGCTGTGGTGTGGAAGAGGGCCTGCGAGTGTGCGCGCTTACTCCAACGTACTGCATTCCTTTGTTTCTTTTTTTTTTATCATATTTTATTCCTTTTGCTGCATTAATTTTTCCGTTTTTTATCATAATTTTTTCCTCTTCTTCTAGGTATTGTTTTTTCTCATTCGGATACTCCTAGATAGGTATACTTCTCTACTTGGTCTATTAAAATGTCTTGAATGTTCAGTGGGTCCCCCCTATCATGGTTATAACTTATAAATAGGGCTCCGTGTTTTCGGATAAATCCGAAAAACACCCGCCGGTAAAATTTTTGTCAATTCGGATCTATCCGATAAACTCCAAATTGCCATGCGCCCATGCCACCCCCCCCCCCCCCCAAAAAAAGAAAAAAAAAAAAAGTTTTTCATTTTGATTTTGTTTTTTAATTTGAGTCAGACAGGATCAATCGTACTGGGAAAATTACGTCGTAATTATCTTTGAAGCCTCGGACCGTTGTCAAAAGGGGGTCTTACGTCGAGGTTGGTTCAGGGAAACAGGTCATCGTACCATTCGTGTCACGACAAAAGCCACTCTTATGGTTTCCAGTTTGGGCCACGAGATTTGGGAGTTAGAGAAAGGAGAGGTTATGTTTCTGGGGGTAACAGTGAAAGCTAAGGACCATAGAGATCGTATAAAATAGGGAAGAGGGGCAGTTGAAACTTCTCTATTCCATCCTTAACCACTCCACCTCCCGCGGCCGCGGGATAGATTGATGGGTTGACTACGAGCTTCCTTGCGGCTACCTCCGGCAGTTTATTGATTTTAAGGTATCGACGGTTATCGAAGCAACAATTGTGTGCGACTTTTGTAGTAGGACAAATTAGTATTGCCAGTGACACCAACGCCAAATTGAACTGAAGAAATCTTAATTGATACAAGCGCGTTTTATTTTTTATCTGGCATACGTTTGCATCCGGTTATTATTTATTATTTTTAATAGGAAACGCAGCAAAAGTAATGTCCGAATTTCAGAGAATCGGGGATATACGAAATATAAACTCCGATAAACACCGAATTTTCGCTAAAAAATAAACTCCGAAAAACACCCTTCGAATTTCACGAAAATTAAACTCCGAAAACACGGAGCCCTAGTTATAAACCAATATTCCTGACTTGTCGCTACTGATTTTCAGTCCCAGAGAGTCACCTTCCTCTTCACAGATCTTAATCAGCTTCTGTAAACTATCCCGGCGATCAACTAACAGCGCAATGTCGTCTGCGTAGAACATTCCTGTTATTACGTGGTTTACTTCTTCCCCTCTCTCCATATACGGCACTTCACAACCTAAATTGCAGTCTTCTGTTTTTTTTTTTTCCATTGCATTCAGGAATATCTCAAAAAGCAGGGCGAAAACGGACAACCCTGCGTGAGTTCCTTTTTTTTATTGTTGCCGATAAAACCCTAATCAAATATGCATCTGAATCATACTCTCTAAGCTGTAGCCAGAGTTTTTCCGAACTCACATTGTCGTACGCCCGTTTGCTGTTGAGAAAGGCTCTCCATAAAGATTTTTACTCATCTGTGCCACCGTTTCTTTTTAGCTTTCCTTTTCAAGCGTCGGAGAAATGAAATGAAAAGATAAATCCAAATTGTAGTACCGCGATGCAGCGAAAAACATGTTGGTAAATCTACATCGGCTAATAAAGTTCCTCGATGTTTTGTTATTAAAATTTGATTTAAGGAAGTTTGCGCTCCGGTAAAAACCAAAACTTCGTCCGCTAAACACGAAATTTTTGGGCTTTACGCAGTGGCGTCATCCTGTGATCGTTCTTGCTAAACTTCACGTCGCACTGATTCATGGGTCCGTGCAGCGCTGTATTAATCCGCCTCGAGCGATTCACTGCGGCCAGTGGTATGGTTAACTTATATACAACGGTCAATGATGTGCACTTTGGAGGCATGTCTTTTTCTACTTTCACTGGGTCTGTATTCTATCGCACAAGCAACTGCAATGGTGACAAAAGCAGTGCCGCAAGCGTGCGACGTTGGAACGTTCATTTTCAGAGCAAATTCACATACAAACAAAACCATTCGGCAGATCCAAGCTCGCGCGCCTGTGCGCTGCCCTGAAAATATTACTATTTTTTTTCACATTATGCGAGACCGAAGCCAAAGCTACAAGCACGAGCATGTTGCCCTGAACGATGCGTGCACTGCACGAGGGTGCGTTCTTGGCAGATGCCCGGAAGTCTGACTTGTCACCAGTGTTGGCGGTAGAGCGTTACAAGTAATGGAGTTACCGTTATGGCGTCGCGCTAACGTGGTAACGTACTCGTTACTTTTTCAAAACGGCAACGGCTAACGTACTTACACTACTTATCTCAAGCAACGGGTAGCGTAGTTACGTTACTTGTTACTCCTTCTTTCAAATACTTAACAGAAGCTGCACTATATTTTTTCGTGTTTATGTACTTCGTTTTACCTTGAGTCCAGACGCATCCGACGTTATGAGCTGATGGCACCAATCAGAGAGCGTTAAAAGGGCACCACCTTGGTGCTCCTCCTGTTTCTGTACGTGCTCTATCATCGCTGAACCAATCATAAACAAAAAAGCGCCCAGTGACTTGCGCTTTTGACGCTGCTTCATTGAGTCCATTAGCTCGTAGCGTCGGCTGCGTCTGAGTTTAGTGTGAAGCGAAGTATAAGCGCCAAGTCATTAATTTTTGGACTCGTGCCACATACCTTCAAAATGTTGCCTTTAACCCTCTAAGTGCGGGTTTTCTATTCCGACCCGGCAATCTCCCTGAGCCGTTTTTTTTGTTTCACTGTACGAACAAATTTAATTTGGGCACAATGAGCAGGGGTGTGACATCTGAGCTAATTTGATACAAACCCAATTTTCTGCGCCTAGTTGCGCCAAAAACGTGAAATCGGTCAGAATTTCGCCACACTGCGCCAAAGTAATTCAAAAACTAAAAAAAGAAAGTTTGCGGCGACGCTAGATCTAGCGGTAAACGAGAGCTTGGTTAGCAACATTCAACCTCGTCGCAGTAAAGTACACGGCACGGGTACAGGGTGGCGCAAGCAACCGCCGGATTCGAAGATTTCAGCTGTAGTACCCTTATATACCTATGATACGTGGTCGTTTCCCAATCTTCGTGCTACTTTCCGCTGTCATTTCTAACTGCATGCTAACGGTGCGCTGTCACGCGGTCTTGCTGTTTGGCCGCAGGAGGTACGACGCACAGGCTATCAAGATGAGCAAACCTGAGTATTTCTTTCGTTTTGAGAGTAAACCTTTTCTTAAAAGTGCTATTGAGCGCCTCCATTGTGTAATTGTTCATTCATGTCCCTAATCTCGTCAAAATGGACGGCGCCGTCGCCGTGAATACTTTCGGTTATCACACGTGCTTCCATTGCGTGAGCAATCGAGTGAATCGATAACACAACCGTATTTAGCGTGCATGTAATGCTCATAGTTCTTCTACCAATTCGCTATTTACCTTGTGACAGGCAGGGAGTAAACTGAAAACCCGAAACGAGTATACCCGGGCGCGGCAGAGAGTATTTAGGAAAGCGCGGCCGAGTATACTCGGGCGCGGCACTCAAAGGGTTAGAAGGTTAAAATTAATCAAACATTTCATTTTGGTCATGTTAGACCATATTTGGGTGGTTTTATTTGAAATCGAACACGCTTGTCGGGGTGGGTCTTTCGATTTTTTTTTGAAAAAATATATGTAATTGCCCCATTTCTGAAAAGAACAAAACGGCTTTTCACAATTTAAAAAAAAAATATTTCGCTTCACAAAAAATTACTGAGTGGAGCAGGGTGAAAATCTGTTTTTTACTCCGTGATTTTTCTACCGAGTTCTGTACTCTGGTATGAATACGGGAAGCTTACAAAACTCACAGTAATTTTTTGTACTCTTGTATGTTATTTGGACTATTTTTTAGTTCAAAGGAAAATACTTTTGTAGTTTTGTTTATTGAGGTAAAAAATGACAAACATCATCTTTTTGACAATGCGGTGACATCTTCAGAGCCTTGTAACTCATGAGTTATTATATTTATCACTTATTAAATACTATGCGGGTGTAGCCCTATACATGGGCTATCGACGGGCATAAGTTTTGTTTATTTTATTTTCACTGAAGTTTTTTATATGGGTGGTTTCATTTGAAATCGAACACGCTTGTCGGGGTGGGTCTTTTGATTTTTTTTTGAAAAATATATGTAATTGCCCCATTTCTGGAAAGAACAAAACCGCTTTCCAAAATGTTTAAAAAAATATTTCGCTTCACAAAAAATTATTGAGCGGAGCAGGGTGAAAATCTGTTTTTTACTCCGTGATTTTTCTAACCAGTTCTGTACGCTGATATGAATACGGGAAGCATACAAAACTCACTGTAATTTTTTGTGCTCTTGTATGTTATTTGGAATATGTTTTAGTTCAAAGGAAAATACTTTTGTAGTTTTGTTTATTGAGGTAAAAAATGCCAAACATCGTCTCTTTGACAATCTGGTGACATCTTCAGAGCCTTGTAACTCATGAGCTATTATATTTGTCACTTATTGAATACTATGCGGGTGTAGCCCTATACATGGGCTATCTACGGGCATAAGTTTTGTTTATTTTATTTTTACTGAATTTTTTATATAAATTTTGAAATATCGTCGAAAATGAAATTAACCGATATTTTGAACTCACTTTATCAGAAAAGGCCATTTTTTATTTCGTTCAATTTTTTTATTATTGCTGCCGATCATATGAACTTTCAATTGGCTTGATGTGATTTCCCCCTTTTTTGTTGTATCTTTTCTAGAAGTGATCAAAATCGCCCCCACGAGACAATGCGGTGACAACTTCAGA